GGGCTGTGCGCTTTGCTTTTGGGAGATGTTTCTAATAATCTTTGCCCTGGTTTTTGACTTGTGAAATGAAGGATAATGATATTCCAGCCTCTACTCCCTTATCTGTCCAATAAGAGGCACAGCTCTCATGTTACCTGCTGGGGGCTGCTGTGGTTGTAGAAAATAACAGCCAACTTCTTCTGTAAGTTTTTAAATTTAAGCATTTGCGAACTACAGAGAGCTAAAACTATGAATCGTGAGCTGCTGTTCACTTTCAGGCTTGTTCAGGCAAATGAAGGTGGTTTGGCACTGGTAGTAATGGTAGCTACCTCCATCGCTTAGTTACCAGTCTCGATTTGTTGTTTAACAAAGAATATCTAAATTCTCTAGTAGGATGTTTTCTTCTCTGTATCCCTTGCCTTGTTCTCAAGGACAGTCTCTGTATGCTGGGACAGAAAAAGATGCTGTTCTGGTTGCTCTGTTGCATAGAAACTTCACGGGATTATAGTCTAAGATGAAAGTGTATTTATTATGGCGTCTTTTTCATCAGTAGATGTCACAGGAATGCACAAAGAAGGTCAACACCATTATCTCTTTTGCAGATGGAGAAACTGTCTCTGTAGTTATTGCAAATGAGGAAGCTGTCTCGCCTTACAGACGTTGCCTGGAACCTGCTCTGTAGCACATAACTGAATTTGAACTTCCCTGAGAATTTATTCTTTTCTACGGCACCTTTGGAGCCCATTTAACCTTTTTAAGGGATTATTTCTCCAACAGTAAATATGAAATATTATTGCAGAGATCACCACATCCTTTTTATTAATTACTTTTGAGCTTTATTATTTGAGATGGAAGTGGTTTAATTAAACTGTTCAAATCTTCAAAATTGGCAGTATTTTCCTGACAGTGTCGTAGTAGCCAGTGATCAGAAATAGTGTCTCAGTGGGGGTTACTTATGTCTCCCTTTTCTGAGTAATTTTCTCTTTCTCAACACAGAAATTTGCCTGGAAGAAAGGTGGGGATTGTTTTTTCATGTTTATCTGCGCTCTAACTGTCCAGCAGCCTCAGTAGAGAAGCTTTGTGAGGCAGGCAAAGGATGGGAAATCCCACATCAGGCTACTCTCTGCCCATGAAGTCACGGTGAAACATGAGGCTGATGTGCTTCAAGCAGCTGGAGCTTTTCTGCTTTCAACTGGTGATTTTTACACATGACTGACTGAGAAAACTGATGGTTTGTTTAGGGTTGGTTTAAGACAGAGCACTTTAAATAAAGAGTAGGAGATGAGTAAGATTAAAAGTGCAATTGGACATAAATATGGGTGTCAGGGTTACCCACATTCAGTATTTAAAGGACAAGTTTTGGAATGAAAATTAACTTCCCTGCTTCACGGTCCAGCCTAATCTTTGTTCCAAAGATAGGGCTCTCCTGAGTAGCTGCATGACCTCACTTTTGCCTGATACAGGCTTTACACTTTCTCTTCTTGAAAATCTGCCTTTGACTTTGGGAGAAGAAACGAGAGAACCACGTGCTTTGTCTGGTCCTTTCTGAAGCCATTTTCTTCTCTGTGCATGTGCAGGGGTGCGTGGAGGGAAGGGAAGGAAAAATACATATAGATGTAAAATACAGACAGCCAGTTAGTGGCTCTAGTCTTGGCCTTTGTAGCTTAGTTTGCCACCTGTAAAATGCTCTTTATGTTTTTTCCAGCTATAGTAAGCATATCAGTATTTAGGCTTTTTTTTTTTTTTTTTTCCCCCCCAGCCATAGTAAGCATACCAGTATGTTAACGCATCTCTTCACTGTACAAGGCTGTGAAAGTACAGTTACATTTGTTATTTACCTGGGGAAGATATGTGTCCCCTCACTGGAGTGGAAACCGGAGTAAGGGAATCTCAAGGACCAGCTCATTTTGGGGAGGAAGCGGAGGCAGACTGGAACTGACTCAGGTTTTCTGTGTTCTAGTAAAGGGTTCAAACCATGAATGATTTAAACGCATTAAGTTTGAATCCCATCCCAAATCTCAGCAAATTTTATGCTGTATTTCTCTTGCACATTTAAGATAAACAATTAGTTTGCAACAGCAAGAGCTCTTCTGTCTGCTCTAAGTCTACTGAAGGAGCCTTCACAGAGTTCATCCTTGGCAAAACCTCCCTGTTACCACCAGTGCTGTTTATGTATCGTGTTCCTGTTGCCTGCCTGTCTGCTGCTCCTTCGCCCCAAAAATGACCTGAGAGCAACTTTGATTTTAATAGTAAACCTGAAGCAGCCTGTAAGGAGAGTTGGGGACTTTTGCAAGGAAAGTGGTGTGGGCATGTAAGAAGAGATCATTGCATCTAAAGGCTGACAGCCTTCTCAAAAGGTTAGCAAGCATCTCCCACTCAGGCTCACAGGGAGTCTGCCAGATTAGATATTTCTGTCCTGGCATATCTCTAAAATCATAATGACTTTTATTTAGCATTAATGTGGATGCCTTGAACGTTTCTATGGGACTTCCACTGTCAATTCAGCATTAAAGTGCCATTAAAGCAAAGTGTTACTGTAAGAAGCAGTACCTGCCAAACATTTCTCAGAAGAGCACTGTGCTTTACAAGATGGGTAGGCATTCACTCTTTTCCACTTTCGTGTAAAAGTCAGAGATAAGTCCTTTTATTGATTAGACAAAACAATAGAGACGAGATGTGTGAGAATTGTTGGCAAGACTTTTTATGACAAGTGGCATATCCGTATATATTAATTTGCTGTTCATTGCACTACAGTGTCCAAGATGAATCTTCGTTGGTATTCAGGAGAACACAATGTGAAACTGCACAGGAAAATAAGACAATTCCTATATAAAATTGCCAAATTGTTCAGACTGAAATGGTGACTTCTGGCTATAAATCTATATTGCAAAACTCTTCTAACAAATTCTAACTGAAATGTACTTGATATTTTTATGCAGCATTGACTATACCTTTATTCTAAACTTCCTTTTCAAAAGCAACATTAACAGTTAGGCAGAAGTTGCACTGCAAGCTAATGGGGTTAGGCTCCTATGTCACTCATGTGACTTCAGAAAGTTTTAGCTGAAAAGATCAAAATGACCAAAGAGGGCTCATGTTTCCATAGGAATCTTCTGTATTCTGCATCACAGAACCTTATCCTGCAAAAGCAGTGTAATAAATCCTAAGATCATTTTACAGCCCTCCTCCACTCTGTTCAGACGATTTACAGCAGAAGTGGCCGACTGATAAAGACAGGAAAAAGTAAGCAATAACATTGGTGAGATCGTGAAATTGACTGAATAAATAAATCCAGCTCTCTTTGTTTGTAGTCCTGATCTTGCAATCTTTGAAGTGTAGTGGGGCAACGCTGTCCAGCCTTTCTCTGTGTTGTTTTAAAACAAAAGATGGAATACCCCACCCCATAGCAATCCTACGAAATATGTGACAAAAGCATGGGCTGACAACAAACGTGGAATTTTAATAAGAGGTGTTTAGGTGGAAAAGTTGTGTTTTCTTAAAATTATTTGCTCTCAGCAAGAGATAGGAAATTATAAGATTTCTTAATCTGAAATTGGAAATTTGAGAGAGAAGAGCTGCACAGAGACCTCTGGATGACCCAAGTGAGATGCTCGTCTGACTTGTAGAACTGAGACCTGCTCTGCCTGGTTCAGGCTGGGAGTTTGAACTCTGAATCTCCCTCATCCTAGCTTTTGGCTAATTTGGCAAACTGGTCTTTCTCTTTTCTGTTGGGGAAAAGGTTTGAAAGGTCTCTCTTAAATCCGGCTGTGGGATGGGAGTGTTTTGAATTCTTAGTTCTGTGAGACAGGAAATCCCTTTCCTCCCTACCTGTAAGTGCCTGATGGGCCTGCTCTCTGCCGAGCTGATACGCTGCGAGGATTGCAATGGGAATATCAGACAAAAGAGCCTCTCATGTTTTTGATCGCTCTGGAAACTTCATGTTTTCTACCCTAGGAAGAGTACTAAATGGGGTTCTTTTCTCATGCCACTACAGCATTCCCAAGGAAGATTCATGATTGGATTATGTTCCTAGGAGTTATAAATCAGAGCTAATGGCAGAGATAGGTTGATGGCTTGAAGTAAGTAGAAAAATAAATTGGGCAGTGAGAAGGCCTAGGGCTGAGAAGACATAAATATAAAATTTACCTCCTCCTGAAAGAAGGTGGCAGACCTTCAATTCTTAAAACATCACTTACACAAACAGGAAAAAAGTCTGTTATACATGGTCTTCGCTCAAGTGATGGGAAAGTTGAAATCTGGGACAATATAAAACCTCTGTGAAGCTTTTGAAGAAGTACAATTTCTGTGTTTCCTGAAAAATAGAGATATATAACATGAAACATTAATTTTGAAAGAGCATTAGGCTTTTTCAGGGGAGACATCAGAGGACATAAAAATCTTTGTCAATATCAGATTAGAATGAAGCATTAAAGAAAAGAAAAGCTTATATTCAGTCTCACGGGGTCGGAGTGCCAGAGTTGAATGTCTCTATTTGGCCTTGATAATTGTTCTTTTATCCTTTGTGCAGTGTTGGTATGTTTTCACCCATAGCCTGCTGCCTATATACCAGTCCTCTCAACTGCCAGCTACTCTGGCTCAGTTCTCAGCTTTGTTCTCCTTTATGACTCAATCACAGACTGGAAAAATCTCTACTGAGGTAGTGATTCATCACCTGAATGCACTCCCTTTAAAATAAAGTATCTTTTTTATGATACAGAAAAGATAAAAAAAATATTTTTCAAAGTAACTCAGTATTTTCAGTCTAGGTATCATTCCTTCTTGGGTTTTTTGGTTAAAAGCTATATAACAATCTTTAGAAAGATAAAGAATATGTAAAATGCTATTTAATGATTATAGAGGATGCAAAGTAATACTCCCAGAAATTAATAAAAAGTTTAACTCCAAGTGATTGTTGGCACCAGTCTGTTTTGTTGTTCAATGTTACACTGTTTCTGATCTCGTTTATATTGACGTGCATTATAGCAACTTCTCTGAAGGGAATTGAGTTATTCTGAGGTGCAATGGCCACAGGTGAGATGAGTTGGTACGCTGGTACAGCCATGAATGTGTTTTATTTGCCTCTTGTGCTCACTCTGTTCCTCTGCTCTTTTGAATGCCTCTAGAATAATCTACTCTTTTTGTTAGTGCTTGTAAATGAGAGTCGTCTGTTGATTTTATTGGGAGAAACATGATGTCCCTGACAACGAATAAAGATGGCAGAAGATAGATTGTTTGCTACAGAGCAGTGTTCTTTTGGAGAATGCTGGTCCTTGATGAATTAGTACAGTTTGGACATGAATGTGGAAAAAAAATTGGTAATAGCCCTTCATTTGGTGAACCCTCTTGTTTCCTTCCTGATATTACTCGTGGAGTGGTTTCCTTCAAGCCAACTGAGAAAAACTATTGAGAGAATAAGAACTTTGTAAAAATTTTTGCCTACATGTGGTATTCTGTGGTTTTTATAGCCAGGTACAGTCTTCCTTTTGTCCAGTGAAAAGGTCTGTTACTAATGACCGCATAAGCATTGTAAATAATCTAAGACACTTAATGAATACGAGTTTCCTGGAATACAGGAAAGAGAAGCTGGCTCTTCCAGCCTTAGCAGTGCTAACCTGTTCAACGCGTACCAAAGCTGGGTGCCAACCAGCTGTAACCTTTACTGTGACACTTCCAGTGTGATGCTGAGAGCTTGTTAACTGCTGGGAAGCAGAGCTGCGCTGCTTTGCTGCTGCCTCTTTGCACAGTCATTTTTTCCACTTCTGTTGTCTAGATGTATTGTGTGGCTCAGTTCAAAGGCACTTCTTAAAATAATGCTTGCGGTAATGCTGGATTGAAAATAAATGTGTGTGTGGGTGGTACAAAAAGGAGCAAGGAGTGCATACCCAGGTTTTTCGGATTCACAAGTTGCTTTTCTCAATCTCCCAGTGGAAAATTACCCATGGTTGTGCGGTTCTTTGATTTCTTCAGCTGAGGAGGCTGCTTGTGAGTTGAATGAGAAAGGTGAGCTCAGCGCAGGAAGGAGGGAGAAAGGAAATTCTGTGTTTGTGTAGCTTTGAACCGTTGCATGCTTTCTGCGCCACTATATTGTGTATTTTTAGTAACTGGGGGCTTTATTGCCCTACTAATGCCTAGAGATGCAGGTGCACCCTAGAGCTGAATTGAGTCCAGTGATCTGTGCACCTTTTTGGAAAACCTGCAGCATTTTCACTATGGCCCCATTCATATTAATGAGACTTCTAAGTGAAATAAACTTATATTCATTGTCTAAGTTCCTTTTTTTTTTTTTTTTTTTTTTTGGATAAAAGTAATTTAAGGACAGTGACCTGAAGAAGTTGGGAGTTTCTGTTCAAGAACTGAGTCTGTGGCACTACTGTGGTAAATAATTCATGTAACATGAGGAGAATCCCCCGTTCATTCAAATTGTTCACACCCTGTGAAATCACAATGCAGTTACTAAAACTGGCAGAAATTCCTAGGTTCAGCATGTGTGTTTCACCTGCTGAGGTTGGTCTATAAGTGTTATCCCTTATGGGTAGGCTCTAAAAGATGTGAGAAGGCATGGAATTAGGATAGCCTTACACAGGTCTAACAGTATTCTGTAGATTTTCTTCTTTTTATTTATTTATTTAAAAATCTGAGTGCTCTGTGTTTTGGAAAAGCATTTAACTAGACTTGGGAAATAGGTTCTATTCCCAGATCTCTTCCAGTTATATATTGGATCTTGATAAGTCTGTTACACCTCTATTTACATACCTGTAAAATGAGGAATGGTGATTTTTCTTTTTATTAGGTACTTTGAGATCTAGGATTGAAAAGCTTTTGAGGAGTTTTCTTCCTGGGATTTTTAAACAAGCTTTTTTCTTAAGCAAAACCAAGTGCCTCCATGAAGAATGAATGTTTCTTGCTTTTACCGTTCTTTACTATGACAGCCTAGAATAGTGTCACAAATATTTTTGTTTTGAAGTCGCTACATTTGTGTGTTTTGCACCTACTTTCAGGTTCACAGAAACACTATTGGAAAGAGCAGGCTTTGCCATCTTTGTAGGGGTAGTGTGATAGCAAATTGTGCTGGCCTCTCCGAAAACTGACGCTGGCAGACAGTCTGACATTTCTGAGAGGCATGTCCTGACAAAGCTCCGCTGCAGTCAAGCAGAGCTGGGACCATGAACTATTGACTGAGGAACTGCCTGAAAATCAGGGTGAACTGCCACTTAGGCAAGCTTTTTATCTGGCACGGAGCGTTTTTTCCCTCCCTGCCTCTCCCTCCTTCACGGCCATAGGAGTTCGCGGGGCGCAGGGCTGCAGCCGCAGCATGGGCGGTGGGAGCACGGCTACCCTCAGTCGTATGGCCTGGGGCAGGGGCATGTTTCCTCTTTTCTCATGATTATTAATACTATCAATGTTGTAATTTTATTTTGATCAGCCCTAACACCTGTGTGAAATAAAACTAGCTGGAAACACCTGACAGCTGTAATGGAGCCACTAACCAGCCACCGCAGCGGCACAAGAAGTCCATTATGATTGACAGCGTTTTTCTGATGGCCCTAAAAAAGTACAGAGCTGTCAATAGCATCTTGTATGCTTTCCAGGTGCAGTACTTTTAGGAATTAATCTGCCGGGAATTACAGCAGTATTAGAGGGTGGGAATTTAATTACAATATTGATTATACATATGTATTTATACACTGCAGAAATCGAAAAGCAGCTGCAAGGGAACCTGGGGCTAACAGTTTTGCTTGCTGTTTACAAGACTTCTGGGTTGTTGGCATGATTGATTACCTTCACAATAACCTTTCTGTGTTCCAGAGAGCATACCCTATATGCGGAGAAATGACTGTTCCCTTAGGGAGGTCAGAGCTTGTAATGCAAATGTCAAATAATTTTTATATTAAAAACTAAATTAAAGGCCTGAATTATTTTTATTAGTAGCTTCTTTAATTGATTCACTGTCCTTTGAACCCAAACAATTTCAGCTTTACGCACAAGCCCCCAAAACCTTATTTTGCAATCTCTAAGAATTTTCTCTTCTAGATTTGATAGACTTAAAACTGTTGATTTTGTTTCTTATTTAATCTCTATCAGACTAAAAAGCCTTCTTTTTAAGAAACACAAACGAAGAGGAGCAATGGACCTTTAAAGAACAAGATTTATTTTATTTTATTTTTGAGCTATTTATTGACTTGAAAACACACAACGGGTTTATTATTTTACTGCTGGAAAATTGCCAAGGGGAGAATGAACTACGAATGATATAGATTATATATCACACTGTATAATTAAGACAGCAAACAGTCTACTGGAAAATATTTTATAGAGTACTTTATATAATGGAAAGTTCACAGCAGTCTAACAGAGACCACCTAATATGTCTTTTAATATGAATTCTACCAGAGATTTAAATTAAGGTTTGAACACTTATGCTTTACAGTCTATCAGTCTTGATAATGATTACACCTGCCTGCACAGCCTAATTTTGAAACTCTATAATCATTCAGAATTAACCTACTAGAAAAACTCAGCAGAGATTTGATGTGATTTTCTTTGTTTTCTTTGCTATGTGAGCAGACCTTCTGGACACTGCATTGGACTTTCTTCTTTGCTTCTTTTCTGTAACTTGTGATGACCAGTTTATTGTGTATTTTGATACTTGTTTTTCTGTTCTGTGATGAGGCAGCTTTTGCAAATTTCTGATTAATTAAGATACTATTGAAAGATGGTAGACAAAAATAAGCTCTTTAAATTTACATTTATAGTCATTTTTAGCATGTGTGAAACATTTAGAATTTGGGTGGAAACCTGTTCGCACTGAAATAATAAGGAATGTTACTACTGGCTTGGCTGGTACTAGGATCATTACCTCCATGTGATGTTTTATTTCAGTTTCCCCATAGAGTGCACCAGTTTTCACTTAAACGTGCATTCCATGGCTTTCTCCAGAATTTCTGATCTTTGGCACACCGTACCTTTATTTTTGTTTCGGGCCTCACAAAAGGAATGTTGTTCTTGTTGCAAATTTGTGCTTCCTGTTTAGGCATAGGTCTAGTTACACAGTAGTTTGCGATGCAGTTGATGGAATGAATTCTGGTTTCCCCTCCCTCTGTGCGAGCTGGTGTTACCTCAAATCTTTTTGAGTGTTTTGAGAACTTTGCACAAAACTGTAGTCCAGAAAGGGAACCCACAAGAGACATGCCATTTGTTTTCACTCTTTTCCATTTTATGGCCACATTTGGTGGCAGTATTCTGCTTGCTTTGCTGGAAAAATGCAGCATGGAAAGAATTTGGGTTTTAATAAAAAGGGTTAAAGAAACCCTTGTGGCTGGGTTTGCTGATTCTTTATAGTCACAAGACCTCTTTGACTGCTTTAAATCCATATAGACACACTAATGCATCTTGTATTTGTCGTAACACTGAGATCTCTGGACTTGTTGGCTCCAAAGGGCTAATAAAAGTCTTTATATTAACTTTAATTGTCAGGAGGGGAAAAAATGGCCCTAACACATCGAATAGTGAGTACTTCTGGCTTGGCACAGCTGACTCCAGAGAGTTCTGAATAGAGATTTGGTGTTTCTTGACTGTCCTCTCAAGCGAATGCTGTTGCTGCCCTTTCCTCCTAGGTGGGGTGGGATGAGGTTGCACAGTTTTATGGAGAGGCCGTTCCTCCCTCAGTGCTCTGGAGAAGATGCATGCCCTGTGGTGGGTACTGTGGGGTTCATAAAAGGAAGTGATGGAAATTTCTGCTGTGTGTCCTGATTGATACCCATGCTAGATCTATGATGCTGAAAGCCATCTTCATTCCCGTTGAGTCCTCAGAACCGAGGTTTTCAGGCAACATGTATTAAAAACACAGCTCCATCACACGCTGTCTGAATTGACCCAACTGCTTGAAAATTGACTGCTGAAGAGACTTGAAGCACTTTGTGACAGTCATCTGAGAAATCCTGGCATTCATCCTGACCCGACAGCCATAGGGGCAGTGTTGCAATTTCTGATAGGGTCTTTCTAGTAAATGTTCTCTGGCCAGCCTGCTAATAGTATTGGAAAGCTCTGAATGTGATGCACGAAGTCGATTAAATGTAACATGTCTTTGAGAAATACTCGGAGATTAAATTCCCTTAAATAACACCAATGTTTTGGTTGTGCTATTTATAAAAACTAATGAGAACTTGAAAAGTCAGGGATTAAAAAGAATTATTTGTCTATTGGCAATTCCCAAAACTGATTTGCTTCATGACATGGAAATGTATATACGCAGGAAAGATTTAATACACATCTATATTGATAAAGTTATTAAAAAACCAGACCATTAAATCCTCTGGCATGGATAGCTGCTCTGTATTGCAGTTTCTTGAGTCTTCTTTGGTTTTAAACCCCTCTTGCAAGACTGCTTATAACACTGTCAGTAATAAAAAGGTAGGATGCTTCCTGGGCTCGTAGGACCCAGTATGGCCCTGCTGTGTGCACCGTTATGTGGTTTCTCTGGTGGCTTCTTGCTCTGTTTTGTTGGCAGCTCCTCCGTGAAGGCAGGTAGCATCCCTGACAGGAATGGCAGGCTATCCTCTGGCTACTTGACACAGGGATGAGTGGAGTCTCAGAAGCGGGACCTGTGGTTGCTTTAGGAGGCTGGGAAAGAAGGAACGAGACTTGGAAGGCACAACACGTGTGGTCCTCTGCTACATGCTGAAATTGCTAGCAGCTCTCTCCACGTATTAAATGTGCAGCTGTGTGCGCTTAAACTGCAGGGTGACACTTAGGAAGGGACAAGGATCTTATGAATAGAAGTAAATGCTAGTTACTGGTTATGTATCATCCTGGTTAGCTGCATAAAAACTCTTGAGACAAGGGAAAAAGCATATTCAAGTGGCAGCGAGAGAAAGAAAAAGACCAATGTGGTTCAAGAATTGAATGAAAGTGAAGGGAGATGAATTGGAGATTATAATTAGAAAGCAAAGGAGCAGGCAGGTTTTCCAACCTCAGTGGGAAAAAATGATTGACCTGAGCAG